TGTGTTTCGGGACAGACGATTCAATTCAATTCAGAAAGCTTTATTGGCATGACAAAAAATACATTTTGTATTGCCAAAGCGTCAAAACAACATAGAAAATGATTTGGAACATTTAGTACACAAAATATTAAAACTGATATCATAAAACAATAATAATAAAAACGAATAGATCAATAAATAAAATAAAATGGATTTAGAAATCATCTATATATATATATATATATATATATATATATATATATATATATATATATATATAGACTCTCTCTATATAGACTCTCTCTCCTCTTCAGTCGTGCTTTGGGACTCGATGTTATCAGAGCGGGTGTTGATGACTCCGTCTCACACATCCGCTTCCGGACACACACTGGATTGCTGTTTGGTTTTAAAAATATCCCAGAGATAAACAAGCAGAGAAAATTACCCCCAAAAGCTGCGTGCCGTTTGCCCGTCCAGCGGAGCATGGCGTTCCGAGATGTGCGGATAGAGACGTGCTCAGAAACACCAGAAACACGAGAGCGCCACACCCAAGATGGCCGCCGCATTAGCCCTTAAACCTGACACACACAACCAGCCCGCCTTACACGAGTAACACATTCAACTAATTAAAAGTGACATTAAAGACATTTATAATAATATGCAAATGGTTCCATTTCAAATAAATGTGGTTCTTTTGAGCTTTATTTTCATCAAAGGAAACGTATCACAGTTTCCACAACCATACAAAGTATTTTCAACATATAATAACAAACATAAATGTTTGTTGATCATCAGATCCTCATATTAGAGTGATTTCTGACGGATCATGTGACAGGAATAAATTATAGCCTACTTTACTGTAAATTCACGTAGAGAACAGAGTAATATTTCACTTAGGCTATTTACAGAAGAGTAACGCACCGTTACTGTTTCTCTTCTTTCTTCAGTTTATTTTCATGAACATTTGCAGAGGATTTTATCTAAAGCAAAAGATTATTTATATTCATGCATTCCCTGGAACTCAAACCCTTGACTTTAGCATTGCAAGCGCCATGCTCTGCTGTTTGAGCTAACGGAGTCAGTGTAGTTTTGTGTCTTATTGCTTTTAAAACTACAAATGTTGATGGAAACATGATTTTGTCATCCGGTGATGGCAGGGGAATGAAGGTTAATGTAGAGGTGTGTGTACCAGCAGCTGATTGTGTAAGATGAAGGCCTCTGAGACCACACACACACTCACAGAAACACACACTTATGTAACGACCCCTGACTGAAGTTCAGCTAATGGGTCAGAGATTAAACCAGTTCAAACATTAAACTCGAGAAACGACCCCTGTAAACACACACACAATAACTCCAATAACAGTTATGGAAATACAATAACTGAAATTATTTCTGGAAAAAAGTGACTCTTCCATGTGATCAGGTCTGAAATGCAGAATAAAGGAAAACTCAGAAAAAAGTTTGAGTTTGTTTGCCACATTTTTTGCAGTTAAAAACATGTTGGTCACTTGCATTGTTTTTCATCATTTTAAGCAGCATTTGCTTTCCAGTCATGTGGTGGTGATGCTGGGAATCATGGGCCGCAGTGACGTCACACACTCGGATATCCTTCCCTGCGCAGAAGAAGAAGGCAGTGTGTGTGTGTGTGTGTGTGTGTGTGTGTGTTGTGCATCAGTGTTCAGATCTGCAGAGAGAGAGAGAGAGAGAGAGAGAGAGACGAGCTCAACAAGTCTGACTCCGCTTCTGTAATCCTGTCCTGTCTCACTCTGTAATTATCCTGTCCTCACTGTGCCACACTTACATAAACAATTCCACACACACACACACACACACACACACTTGTGAAGTTTGCACAGTTTGTTTCGGCCTTTAGTTTTCACACACTTCCACATCAGTGATCCTCAGCGGCGCAGGGCATCAGTTCAACGCTGTGATTTATTTGTTGTCAATGTATTTGTTTTCTGCAGCCTGATCGCATGCACTCTGTGTGTGTGTGTGTGTGTGTGTGTGTGTGTGATTTGCAGTGGCACAGCTCCAGCACAGTGATATTAGTTTCAGTGTGTAGTTGTTTTCACGCTTGAAGGATTCGCTTCCAGCACAGTTTATTTTACAGCGCTGGCCTGATGCGCTTCACCCTGTTCAGCAGGTTCAGCCTTGCGTGTGTGTGTGTGTGTGTGTGTGTGTGAATCAAGTCAGATTTATTTCTATTGCACTTTTAACAACACAGATTGATTCAAAGCTGCTTCACAGAGACGACAGGAAAATCTGAGTGTTCAGATAAAAGAAAAAGAGTCTGTTCAGATTCATTCATACTTCACTGACATCAAACACAAACTAAACTCCTGCTTAAAACATTTTGCTCATGTTTTACATTATAATAATAAGACTTTACTATAAGGTCCTTTAGTAATGCATTAGGTAACAATGTGCAACACATTTGTAAAAGTATTTATTCATCTTTGTTAGGATTTAATAAAAGTACAACTATTCATTGTTAGTTTATGTCAGCTCAGGTCAATTCTATAAAATATAATACACTTTTAATTTCAATAATATATTAGTAAATGTTGAATATGAATAAATGATTGTTCGTGGTTCATGTTAACAATGTTAATAAATTAAACTCTATTGTAAAGTGTAACCATTATAATATATTTTATAAACTAAGATACTATATTCGTTTGGTTGTTTATTTATTTCACATGAACTAGTGAAGGTGATTAAATGTTGTGGGTTAGGGTCACTATAAAGTATATATAAAATATATTAAAAGCATCAAAGAGCGGACATTTTCTATGTATTTATATTTATTTTATGTAATATTATACATATATTAAACTTCTTAAAGAGCTTAAAGTTATTTATTTATTTCACATGAAATAGTGAATCTGATTAAATATTGTGAAATTCATATAAATGCTGAAAACTCACATGTTCTGAAATATGTGTTTGTGTCATATTTCACCTACAATTATAATATTATTTATGTGCAGTATATTCTGTGAAGAGTTGATGAATTGAGAAGTTCGTCGTGAATCTGTGATCTGTCAGTGATGGAGTGTCTCCCTCTGCTGGCTACACTAACACTTCTCTATAAATATATTTTATTCAGGCATTTCTACTGAGTTTAAAACAGTGAGTGTTGATATATACAGTTTATGAAGGTTGATTATTAAAAGGTCATCTAATGCTCAAAGTTTTGATGATGTTTCCGGCTCTACTAGAACACGTTTTCCTGCTTGAATGTTGATTATTCTGAGTAATTCTGTTCTGCATTACTCTGAGAATAAAGACTCTCCAATACTAGTTTTCTATTAAAGTTACTATGAAACGCCACACAGAATCTTTTATCAGTGGAGAATCAGTTTGATTTGATTCTTATTGAACGACTCTTTTGATCTCTGGCTGTTTCTGATCGGGTCTATGGAGGTCTGCATGATCTGATCTTCATTTCTGGTCTCTAAAATATCTTTAGGTGCGTTTGTATGTGATGAATATGGAAGATACATCAGAAAACAAAAAACATAATTATGACAAAAAAAAATCAAGTCACCTTTATTTATATGGTGCTTTACAATACAATAAGTCAAAATTAATAATTATGAGACTAAAAGTCGGAATTTACTTAAAAAGTCATAATTATGACGTATTGTTTATGACATAAAATGTCGACTTTTATCTTATCATTACAATTTTTTAATCTTTAAAAATTTCGACTTGGATTTTTACACCAAAATTTCAACTTTTATGTCATTATTATGATGTGGTATATCATAACCCTACATAATTTATGTAATAATTTTATTTTTATCCTGAAAAGTATGAGTTTTTATCTCATGTGGCGGGAAAGTACTCGACAGTCACTGCTGTTCTTTCTGTCGCCAGCAGATGTCGCTAATCTCGCTCATCTCAGTCCATGAACAAACCTTTTCAGAGTTTTAAGCGGCCAAGCACGGCCTATGGGCCTGAAGCGGCTGCACTCCATCGTGTGGCCGCAGATCTGTGGTTGGTCACACAGGTCTCTGGTCACAGACAGAGCCATAGCTCTGGTCGCAGGTATATTTCTGTTCGGCTTTGAAGCGAATCTCTGACATGGAGCCTCGCGACGCCGCGGTGTGGTGCGGAGAGTTCGCGCATGCGCAGAGGCGACTCTGGAAGCCCAAGAGTGTTTCGGGAGTCGAGCGATTCCACTTCAGCGCTGCTTCCGCGGTCGGTCAACATCGCGTGATACAATTAGCCTCTGATTGGTTGCATTTATCATTTTAGTGTACTTTTTAAGTGTTAAATATGTATAGTTCAGAATTTCAATGATTTAAAATGTGTCCGTGTTATGAACTGCTGAACTGCCGTGTTATGAAATACAAGTCAAGTACAAATAAATAAAATTAATTTGCAGGTTTTTCAGCTATCAAACAAATCCTGCTCGTGTTCTTTATAATACACTATTGATTTTGATCAATAATTTATAGATAAAGTATTGATCAAATAATAAAATTGATCCAATTTATAAATAAATTATTGAATTTCATTTATAAAATGTATACATTAAATGTCTGCTTTGAAATTAAGTTTTGAAATTAAAAATGTTATTTTTTTTCCTCTGGCTTTTGGTTTTAATTTAATTACTATTTTAATGTTATTCCATAACAGAATCAAAGGAATACAAAGGTATATGTATATATATATATATATATATATATATATATATATATATATATATATATATATATATATATATATATATATATATATATATTCAGACTCTGATGATAACTCACAAAAATTCCAAAAAGAAAATGATTAAATCATTCTATACATCCGTTTTGCTTTTTTATTTATTGTGTCTTTTAAGGCCTCGGTATAATACTCAAGTTAAATTTTAAATAATATAATGTTAGGTTTAATATTAGTCCATTTCTGTTTGTGTATGTCGTATATTATCCATATTATCGTGTGCGCTGCGTCTCCTCCGTGACGTCACGCGTCGCTCGCGGGAGCTGCAGTGAATCGGAGTGGACGCGCTAGAATCTGGAGCGTCGCGTCGAAGTGCAGCGACATTTTCTTCTCATTTCAGTTCCTCTTCATCAACAGGACCGATACACACAGTCTGATCTCGAACACACACACACACACACACACACACACACACACACCGACCGACTGATGCTCGGAACAACCCGGAGCTGAGAGGAGCATCACGCGCTTCTGTGGGAGACTCTCCGGTGAGTGTGTGTGTGTGTGTGTGTGCACTGATATATAAAGCAGATGATCATCACAGGTGAGGATGTGCATGAGTTCTGCAGGCGTGGTCCTCTATATCATAATTCATAATTGATCTGCATGTTAATCATGAGCGACTCCTCGTCATAACTCATCTGCTGATGCTGATATTCGGAGTTATTGAGATATGATCAATCATGGCGTTTCAGCAGTGTGTGTGTGTGTGTTCTCGTGAAGCCAGTGGCAGTTCCTGTCTGTACGACTGTAATAGTGCAGAAAAAAACAACCTGGACAGATTTCATTAACCAGGATTTTTACACTGAAAAAAAATACACTTTTTTAATAGTTATGGTACCTGATAGCATGTGTTGATTGGCTGTTGGTGTGTGTGTGTGTGTGTGTGGATGTCAGTGAGAGAGTGTGTGTGAGTGAGAGAGAAAGCGAGAAGGTGTGTGTACGAGAGAGAGAGGGTGTGTGCACGTGAGAGAGAGAGTGTGAGTGTGTGTGTGTGTGTGTGTGTGTGTGAATGAGAGTGTTAATGAATGAATGAACGAATGAATGAAGGTTCGAACGAATTAATGATCATACAAATGAATGAACAAACATGAACGAACAAACAAATGAATGAATGAACTAATGAATGAACAAACGAATAAATTGAATGAACAAACAAATGAAGGAACAAATTAATGACTGAATGAACAAAAAAATTAATGGAAGAATGAATGAACGACCAAACGTACGAATGAATGAATGAACGAACGAATGAATGAAAGAATAAATGAATGAACGAACGAACAAATGAATGAATGAACAAATGAATGAATGAACGAACGAACGAATCAGTCCTCCCCAGCTCCACCTGTATAAATCTGCTACGGCGGTGAAATCATGTAATTTAAATGAAAATATATGTATATTCAACATTTGTAAGTGAGTAGTTTAATATTTGATTAATGTGATTTCATGATTTACTCTCACTCAGACCATCCTAGTGTATATGACTCTTCTTTCAGACGAACACACACTCGCACACTCAGACTGATCGTGTGTGTTTTGTCTCCTCAGCTCTGATGGTTATGGTCGGTGTGTGACGCTCAGTGTCTCAGCTTCACTCAGCATGTCTGCTCTACAGGTACACACACGCACACACACTCATTCACTCTGCATGAGAGGGAGTTTAACAGAAGTTGTGTGTTTGTTCGTCTCACAGGGAGCGTGGCCGCCTGGCACCGAGTGTGTGGCCAAGTATAACTTCCAGGGCAGCACCGACCAGGACCTTCCCTTCAGCAAAGGAGACCTGCTGACCATCATCAGCGTAACCAAGGTAACGGCAATCAGGCGTAACCAAGGTAACAGCAATCAGGCGTAACCAAGGTAACGGGAATCAGGCGTAACCAAGGTACCGGCAATCAGGCGTAACCAAGGTAACGGAAATCAGGCGTAACCAAGGTAACGGAAATCAGGCGTAACCAAGGTAACAGAAATCAGGCGTAACCAAGGTACCGGCAGTCAGGCGTAACCAAGGTAACAAAAATCAGGCGTAACCAAGGTACCGGCAGTCAGGCGTAACCAAGGTAACAAGGTAATGGCCAATCAGGCGTAACCAAGTAACAGTGGATTCGCACCCGGGTCTCTCACACCAAAGGCATGTGTCTTATCCACTGCACCACCACCCTATAAATATAAATATATATACTGTAAATACATGCAAAACTATTTTACATATATACATGCATGTGTGTGTGTTTATATATACAAAATAATTATACACAGTACACACACACATTTATTATGTAAACACAGACTTTTATTTTGGATGTGATTAATCGTTGCACAGCACGGTTGGAAATGAACTTTGTCACTCACAGGATAATTTAGCTTCTCCATGAAGTTACCGGCGGCCAATCAGAGCTTCGACTAGCCAAAGAGAAGAACGAAAGAAAGAAAGAAAAGAAATAAAGCGGAATATGAGGACGGATCAACAGTTCAAAGAACATCACGTTCACAAATCTTTAGGATGTTGGAAAAACAATAACGTGTTTCTGTTCACCGAATGCTTTTAATCTCCGCTATCGCTTCAGCGCTGTCATCTGTCGTGTGTGTGTGTGTGTGTGTTCAGGTCAGCAGATATGAGCAGATTGTGTGCAATACTCTATTTAATATATCATGACTCTCGAGGATTTGCGCTGAATCTGAGTAAACATCAGTGACTCCAAACCGGCTCGTGATTGGACAGCGTTTCCCGCCACTGCTGATTTATACACACATTTGACCGGTGTTAACTTCAATATATATATAATGTATATATACATCAAAACAACAAATCTTCAGTTGTAATTTGCTGTCATGCTCGTGATCTTCATTGATTGATTGTTTTAATGAATTGCTTTATTGACGAAGGACCCGAACTGGTATCGAGCGAGGAGCAGTGTGGGGCGAGAGGGAACGATTCCTGCCAACTACGTCCAGCGGAGAGAAGGCCTGAAGTCTGGAGGGAAGCTCAGCCTGATGCCGTGAGTAAATGTTTAATAGTTCAGATGTTCATATGATGAAACTGTTCAGTAAAATAGGCTCATAATATCATAGTATTATATCGCATGGTTGAGTCGGATCACATCATGACACACACATTATGTATCGTGTGTGTGTGTGTGTGTGTGTGTGTGTGTGTTTCACACAGACTCGTGACCCAGAGTCCACGCCGACACAGCGTTGTTCTGTTATAACTGGACTTGATTTGAGCTGTGAGCCCCAACTAATTCACGAGATTCACATTATTGTAATCTCTGACATCACTGTCTCCATGTGACACCGCAGCCTCCAATCAGTGACCTCTGACACGACCTTTCATTAAAGTTGTAGTTCACTTCAGAATGTAAGTGTTCTTTTCCACTGAAGAAAGAAACACATCTTGGAGGACGAGGAGGGAGTTTTGGGTGTGACGTGACCTTTGACCTCGGTGACTCTGGTTTCCCCGAAGCGTCACCGTTGTGATTGACAGTTCCCTTTTCTTCATGTGAGTTAGTAAAATCGGACGTTCTGCTGAATGTCTCTCGCCCAGTTTCTCAGCAGAAGTGAAACACATCAGCTATGATGTCATCCGATGAACTCACACCGACACACACATTAATTACATGGTTGGTCATTGGCTCGTGACGGACCAGATACGGTCAATGACACGCATATGAAGCATTCCCGAGGAACAGTCAAAGTGAACGTTACTCAGACACCAGATTCACTAGTGTGTGCAGCTGAATCTC